CTTCTCATAGCTACAATAAAAAACATAGAATAAATGAAAAAAAAATTTTCCTTGTGCTGAGAACTCTTTGGTATACTCTCTTAACTACTTTCCTATATGATATACAGCAGTGTTACAGTCATCATGTTATACATTATAAACCTAGTACTTATTTATCTTATAGCTGCAAGTTTGTGCTTTGACCATCTTCTTCCTGTTTCTTCTCCTCGACTCACTATACTCAGTAACTACAAGTGTGATCTCTTCCTATGAGGTTTTTTTTTTTTTAAAGATTCCACATATATACGAGATCATATATAGAGTATTTGCCTTTGTCTTACTTATTTCACTTAGCCTGATGCTTTCATGGTCCATCCATGTTGTTGCAAGTGGTAGGATTTCCTTATTTTTATGGCTAAATAATATTCCATTGCATACAGGGTCCAGCACAAATAACTCCCCTTTTTAATTGTAATTTTGTAACATAACAAACATAACATAACACTCAAGCACTCCATATGACATTTTAGGTGAAATGTTCAAATTAAAACCATACATTATTACACTCATATTATTACCCTCCCAACCACACTCAAGCAGGTGTTATTTCTGCGGGACCTTGTATATTGCTATATATTACAACCTCTCTATCCATTCATCCATTGATGGACACTTAGGTTGTTACCATGTCTTGACTATGATAAATAATGCTGCTATGGCCCTGACTGCTGTGGTTCAGTTGGTTGAAATGCCCCCCAGATAGAAAGGTTGTGGTTCGATCCTCTGTCAGGGCACATACATAGGTTGTGGGTTCAGTCCCCTGTCGGGGCATACAAGAGGCAACCAATCGATATTTCTCTCTCACATTGATGTTTCTACACCTTTCTCTCTCTCTCCCCTTGTCTTGCTCTCTAAAAGCGATGAAAAAATGTCCTTGATAAATAAATAAATAATAATGCTGCTATGAACATGGGAGTGCAGATATCTTTTAGAGTTGGTGTTTTTGTTTTCTTTGGATATATTTCCAGTAGTGAAATTGCTGGATTGCATGGTAGCTCCATTTTTAATTTTGGGGGGATTCTTCATATGTTTTCCATATTGGCTATACCAATGTACAGTCTCACTAACAGTGCACAAAGATTCCCTTTTCTCTACGTTCATGCCAGCATTTGTTATCTCTTGCCTTTTTGATGATAGCCATTCATACAGGTGTGAGGTGATATTTCTTTGTGGTATTAATTTTCATTCCCCTAATGACTAGTGAGGTTGAGCATCTTTTTATTTACCTGTTGGCCTGTTGTAATCTTTGGAGAAATGTCTGTTCAGGTCCTTTACCCGTTTTTAAATGGGTTTCGTTGAATTTTTGCTATTGACTGGTATGAGTTGTTTATGTAACTTGGATATTAATCCGTTGCCTGATATATGGTTTGTAACTTTTTTTTCCATTCCATAGGTTTTCTTTTCGCTTTGTTGTTGGTGTCTTTTGCTCTGCATGAGCCTTTTAGTTTGGTGTAGTTCCACTTGTTTATTTTTTATTTTGTTACTTATTCTTTAAGTGTTATATCAAAAAATCATTACCAAGACCTATGTCAGAGAGGTTTATGCCCGTTTTTTTTCTAGTCATTTCATGGTTTTATATTCTACATTTAAGTCTTTAATACATTTTGAGTTGATTTTTGTGAGTGCTGTAAGACATGGGCCCATTTTCATTCTTTTACATGTGAGTATCCAGTTACCCCAGCACCATTTACTGAGACTATCTTTTCTCCATTGAGTATTCTTGGCTTCCTTGTCTGATATCAGTTGACTGTATATGCTTATGTTTATTTCTGGGCTCTTGATTCTGTTCCATCAGTATATTTGTCTCTTCCACATTTTTTTTTTATTGTGGTAAAAAAGCATAACATGAAATTTACTATCTTAAACCTTTTTAAATATATGGTTCAGTGGTGTTAAATACATTCAGAATATTGCATAACTATCACCACCATCCATCGACATAGTTCTTTTTATCTTGTAAAACTGAAACTTTATACCCATTAAACAATAACTCCCCATTGCTACCTCTCCGTGCCCTTGGCAATGCCCCATTCTACTTTCTGTCTGTATGATTTTGACTACTCTTAAGTACTTCATATAAGTGGAACCATACAGTGCACAAGGATTCTAATTTTTCCTTATTCTCACCTTACTTGTTATATTCTGTATTTTTTTTTAAATTAATTTATTTGGTTTTAGACTGAGGGGAAGGGAGGGACAAAGAGAGGGAGAGAAACATCAGTATGAGAGAGAAACATTGATTGGTTGCCTGTTGTATGTGCCCTGACTGAAACTGAACCAACAATCCAGGTATGTCCCCTGACCAGCAATTAACGGGCGACCTCTTGCTTGTGGGATGACACCTTACCGACCGAGCCACACTGAGCAAGGCCATTTTTTGTATTTTTTTCTTTGTTTTTTTTTTATGGTAGCCATCCTAATAAGTGTGAGGTAGTATCTTGTAATTTTGATTTGTATTTTTACTAATGATCAGTGATGTTGCACATTTGCTTTTCATGTGTTTATTTGAATATTTTCCTTGGAGAAGTGTCTATTTACTTCCTTTGCCCATTTTTGAATTGGGTTTTTGTGTTTGTTGACTCTTATGAGTTTTCTGTTTATTCTTACAAGATATATGATTAGCAAATACTTTCTCCCATTCTGTGGCTTGCCTTTTCACTCTGTTGATATGGTCTTTCATTGCACATTAAAAAATTCTATGAATTCCAGTTTGTCATTTCTTTTGTTGCTTGTGCTTTTGGTGTTATAACCAAGAAATCATTGACAAACCCAATGACACAAACATTTGCTCTGTGTTGTCTTCTAAGAATTATATAATTAGCTCTTATATTTAGGTCTTTAATTCATTTTATTTTTTTATGGTGCTAATTAAAGGTCCAATTTCATTCTTTTGCATGTGGATTGAAAACCGTTTGAAAAAGAGCATCCTTTCCACATTGAGTGATCTCATCCTTGCTCCTCTTCTCCATGTCAGAAAACCTTTGATTATATACAGGGTTAGGCAAAAGTAGATTTACAGTTGTTTGTATGCAAAATAATACAATAATTAATGAATAATACTACAAGAATAACCTCTGCATTTCATGTACTCACAAGTACTTTTGCCCCACCCTGTATGTAAGGTTTATATCTGAGATCTCTATTCTATTCCATTGGTCTATGTATGCCTTTATGCCAGTAATACACTGTTTTGATTACTGTAGCTTTGTAGTAAGTTTTAAACTCAAGAAGTCCTCTAGCTTTGTTTTTCCAAAATTGATTTGCATGTTTGGGATTTCTTCATTTTTGCATATAAAATTCAGAATGGATTTTTCTATTTCTGTAAAAAATGTCATTGGGATTTTGATAGAGATTGCACTGAATATGTAGATTGCTTTGGATAGTATTGACATCTTAACAATATTAAGTATTCTAGTCAGTCAACTTGATGTGTGTTTTCTTTAGTTGTCATCTAGAATTTCTTCCAACAGTGTTTTATAGTTTTCCTTGTTTTTCACCTCTTTAGTTATGTTAAATCTTAAGTTTTTGATTGTTTTGAGGCTGATATAAATAGAATTGCTTTCATAATTTCAATTTCAGATTGTTCATTTTTAGTGTATAGAAATGCATCTGACTTTTTGTGTGTTGACTTTGTATCCTGCTACTTTGCTGAATTCACTTATGAGCTTTAACAGTTTTTTGTTATTTTTTTTGGTGTGGAATATTTATTGTTTTCTGTAAATAAGATTATATCATCTGCGAACAGAGAATACTTCTTCCTTTCCAGTTTGGATGCCATTTATTTATATTTCTTGCTTAATCCTTTTGGCTATAACTTTCAATATTATGTTGAATAGAAGTGGCAAAAGGGGGCATCCTTGTCTTTTTTCTGATCTTAGGGGAAAAACTTTGTCTTTCACAGTTGAGTGTGATGTTTGCTGTGGGCTTTTCATACATATATATGGCTTTTATTGTGTTGATGTACAAAATAGAGTTTTTCCACTTTTTTGGATTTGTGTACTTTTCAAATTCTTCAAGTAAAGAAAAAAATAAAAAGAATAGCCAAGTGTCGGGAGCAACCTAGGTGTCCATCAGTAAATGAATGGATCAAAAAACTATGGTACATTTACACAATGGAATTCTATGCAGCCGAAAGAAAGAAGTAGCTCTTACCCTTTGTGACAGTATAAGTGGAACTGGAAAGCATTATGCTGAGTGAAATAAGCAGGTGGTGAAAGACAAATGCCATATGATCTCATCTTTAACAGGAACCTAAACAACAAAACAAACAAACAAGCGAAATATAACCAAAGACACTGAAATAGAGAACAGCCTGACAGTGACCAAGGGGAGAGGGGAGGGAATTTCAGGGGAAAAGGGGAAGAGTTTGCAGGAACAAGTATAAGGGACACATGGACAAAAACTAGGAGGGGTGGAAATAAGAGGGAGGTGGGGAGGGCTGCGGGGGGTGTTGGTCTGGGATGGGAGTAAAAGAAAACTGTACTTGAACAACAATTAAAAAAATAAATCAATAAAATAAAATTTAAAAAAATCTTAAAAAATAAATACAAAGAACTGATTAGATGTATTTGTGTGTGTACATCTATGTGCAAAATATTCATGTATACACTTCCTACATAAGCATATATATGTAATTTATATATCTGTATATATGAAAAAATTGGTGGAGAACATTACTTACTGAGGCTATTTTTAAAAACATATTTGAAAATGGTAGATGAATTGCTCCTAATAAAGCAATATCCCAACTATTTTTAAATGTTCCTACTATTGGTAGTATTAGTTTTATGCTTTGTAAATGTTTAAATTGTTGCAAATTGTGGTGAATTAGTTGGAGGTTAAAAGAACAGCAGTATGAGTAGTCTGTATTTTTAATTTGACACTCTTTGATGAGAAAACATGTTTATACATAATGACTCTTCTAAAAGAGAGATTTATTTTTAATTTTTTTTTTATTTCAGGAAACCTAATGAGGCCTCTTTTGAATTATGGTATTGCTTGGTGAGCACATCTTTTTTACTTTATGTTGCTTTTCAGAACACTGTTGATTAATTTATGTAAATTAGTTATATTTTTGGTTTACTGTTGTAGTATGTCTATGGGCTTCCTGGTTGAAGAGACTGCACCAGTTGTTTGGAGAGGCCTTATGGTAATGTCAGCCATTGAGAAACTGTTGAGGCAGGTAAGAAAATTGCATTAAGTATCATTTTATTATTGGCACACTGTGGTTAATGCAGTTGCTGATTGAAGCGCTATTACAATTTGCATTTAGGTTTCAGATGTTTTGCAAAAGAATCCAGTTGATAAACTGAATGTATAACGAGTTATGTGGCGCCAAGACCAAATTTGACTGTTAACATGATTTAATCTCTCCCATTACTTATGAGTATTAAAAATCCAGTGCCTTATTTTATATTGTTCTGTTGAGTCTGCAGTAAGATGGGGAAATCTATTTTATAAGTAATCTGCCTTCTTTAGATTTATGGTTAATATCATTGTGGCCAATATGAGCTTTAAGGGCAATGTAGAAATTATTCAGATGTAGAAAAAGATTATATAAACTGTAGTGCTTCAAAACAAAATAAAATTTTGTTTTACTCTGAGTGCAAATGGCTATATATTTGTGTGTATAGTATCTGTCCAATCTAATTTATCCTTAAGGAAGAGAACAGTTGATTGGATAATCTAAAAATCAGATGGGCTGTATGTTATTTATAGGAATAAATTTTATTTTTTTTCTTAGAAGCTGTAAGTTTATAGTTAACTATATTCTAGGAAAATACAATAAGTAATTTGGATTTTCTCCACCGATTTATAGCAATTACCTCCTGTTTATTTAGATTTTACTTTGGGTCAGCTACTATGCTATAGGCTGAAATAATCTAATCATAGATATTTCTATATTGTATTCATACATATATAATTCCAGTCATGAATATAGGTTAGATGAAATATGTCTTGAACTCTGAAACTTTTTGTTTTTCATTGTAACATTTTGTCTTTCTTTTGCTGCTTAAGTTCTAATAAATGTGCTCTTCTCTCTCTGGTCTCAGAATCATCCTGTTTCCCTAGTGCATTTATTTAAGTGTCTTGGCTGCATCTCCTCCTCTTCTACACTCAGTTCCCTGAGTAGGTTATTTCAGTTTTACTCTCAACAACACCTTTTCTTTGCCAATTCCTTGTTGACCTTAACCTTGATTTGTGTGGGTTAACTCAGCTTCTTTTTTTCTTTTTTTGTTTTTCTGGAAATTCTAAGCCAATCTGTATTCAATTTATAGTTAGAGTCAAGGAATATTTGAAAACACCAAAAGGAAAATTCTGATTTTGTCGTGAGAATATTTTAAAAAGGAGTTTCCCCCCTCCTATCTTAGTGTTATAATTCTCCACAGGAAGTGATTCGGAACTCCTCCCAGGCCTTTATGGATGGCCACAGAAGGTAGAAACAGTTCAGCTTTCCACAGTGATCAGAGACTTAGAGAGTCAAGTCAGTGCTAAGGGACACAGAGACCCAGGCCAAGCTTCTAGCTCAGGGATGCAGGGTTCCCATGTCCCCATAGCCTGTCCCCAGACAGATGTGCACCAGTTCTCTTTTTTCTACCTCTAGTGTCCTTTTTAAAATCTCAGGGACCCTCTTAAAGCTCAATTTCCAACAGGTGACAGAAGCATCCTTGCCAATGAGCCCTTGAGGTGGGAGAGAGAGAGCATGTGTGTGTGTGCCCTCAGGAGAGGGGCAAAGGGAGTTTCCCACAGCCTGAGATTAAACTTGATAGTACCAAATAATTAGGTTGCAAAAAGGCTGTGCCTGAGTTCAAACTTATATTAACACCTGCTTTTTTAAGTGAACAAAATGTCTTCAGCCTAGAGGTATAAGGATTGAAAGTCTGAAGGAACCAAAACATGTTGTTGTTGTTGTTGTTATTATTATTAAATGTCAGTAAAGAGAGGATGGACAGTATCCCAATTCCACATTCTCAGCCAATGTCCTGCCATTACCCAGCCTCTTTTATCTACTGTTGAATACTGTCAGAAAATATAGAATAATTGTGTTAATTATTAGCATTATAGAATTTTTGGTTTCCCAGTTCAGTGATGGTCTCAACACTTAAGTCACCTGATTTCATTCAATATTTTTTCTCAATATTTATCAAATACTCGGCATAAAACATTTATAGGATTTGATAGTCTAGTAGAGGACCTACTGGAGATTTAACAATTTCACTGTCTGAACCTAAATTGTATAAGAGTTACAGATTACCCTGTTGAGTACTGAAGATATGTATTTAGCAAACATACTACCAAATATCAGGATGAAAGGTAGGGTGAGAAAAGGGATCCATAACTTATTTTATTGGGATACTTAGAGGATACCTAGAGCATCCTCTAGGATATTAGGATATTAGACTGCATATTTACCTTGCACCCTTTTGTAAGGTTGCTGCATATTTACCTTGCACCCTTTTGTAAGGCTTTATTTTCTGTGCATTTTAATGCAGCTGAAAAACTGATATTTTCAGGCTGTGCTGTGACCATGCTGGTCATTTGAGCTGCGAATTGTGGAGTATTTCATTTTTGTTAGGAAGCAGGCAAACATTTGGTAAGTTTAACATCCTTTGTGAAAATTCAGTATATAGCTCTATACAGCAGTGTATTGTAGAGGGGACAATGTTCTAGTAGTTTCTCTCATGTCCTTTCCCAGTTACTATTTTGGTAGGGAAAGGGAAATACTTGTGGTCAGCCTACCATCTTGAAGTGGATGTTTGGCTTAAAGTTTTTTTTTTTTTCTCCTTACAATATTTTATTGAGCTTATAAGTATAGGGCATGCACATACATCTTAGATGTATAGTTCAATGATTTTTGATAGATGCATATTTTTATGTAATCATACCCCCCCAATCAAGATAGAGAACATTTTTGCATCCCTGGAAAGTTTCTATGGGCACCCTGCTGTTCAGCCCCTTACCCATAGGCCATCGTGTTGTGATTTTTATCACCATGAATGAGTTTCCATGTTCTCATACTTTATATAAACGGAGTCCTACAGGATGTAACCTTTTGTATTGTGTTCTTTCTCTTAGCCTAATGCTTTTGAAAGTCATCCTTATTGTTGCTTCTATCAGTTGAGTCATTTTTATTGCCAAATAGTATTCCATTATATGAATATAACCACATATTGTTTGTATATTCTTTTGTTGATGGACATGTGGGTAGTCTTCAGTTTTGGGCAATTATGAATAATGCTGCCTTAAATACTTGTACATGTGTTCATAAGAGTTCCGGTTGCTTCACATCTTTGTCAACATAGTGATGTAAAATAGTTATCTTATAGTTTTAATTTGTGTTTCCCTTATTATCGTGATATTGAGCTCCCTTTCATGTGCATATTAGATATTGTTTTATCTTTTTTTTGTGGAGTGTGTGTTCAAGTCTCTTACTCATTTTTTTATTGGCTCATTTTTCTTCTTATAATTGAATTGCAAGAGTTTTAATGTATTTTGCCTAAGAGTTCACTGTCAGATATATGTATCAGGACATCTCCCAGTCTGTGGCTTGCCTTTTGATGAGCTGAATTTTAAATTTTCATGAAATCCACTTTTCCAAAAATTTTTTTTTTTACTTCTTATTGCTTTTTGTATTTTCTCTAAAAATTCTTAGTCTGTTGTAAGGTTGTAAAGATATTCTCATATTCTTTTCTTTCAGAGCTTTATAGTTCTGGCTTGTACATCTTGAATTAATTTTTGTATGTGAAGTAAGATAAGGGTCATGGTTTATATGTTTTTTTTAATTTGTGGTATAATAGGAAATATATTTATTCTTTGTTTTTGGGTTATGGTACAAAACTCCTAAAATCCTTTGAATTTCCTGGGTAATGATAGGAGTGTCTTTTGTCAGGCATAAGGAGCCCCTTTTTGAGCATGCCTGAGTTCTTGCTAGTGAAGGGGTTTAGGGTGGGGCCCCTAGGCAGTCTCAGGATGGGGCTAGTTACCAGAAAGATCAAGTGTTTAGAGGGTTGGAATGTCTAGTCCCACCCACTGATCTCTGGAAAGGGGGTGGGGGAGTAGGCTGCAAACTAAGCTCTGTAAAAACTCTTGAACAACAAAATTTGTTGAGCTTCTGGGTTGCATTTTTGGAGCTCTTCAACTGATTTCAGTGTGTTGATGAGATTGGGAACCACTGGTTTGCAGTTTAACAATGATAGGTTAGTGAGAATGGGTTTGAAAAAGGGCATGGAGATAACAGACATTAGATGGCCATTTGAGATCCTTTAGTAGAACAATGAATGGAAAAAGTCAGATTACAGGGGTTTAAGAATGGATTTATAGTGAGGCCATGGAGGCAGAGGTATGTGAGAGATTCTGTTGATTAGATAAAATAGGCCATGCAGGGGAGTTTAGGGCTGGGGAAAAAGAAAATAGGATGGAAGCTTAAGAAAAAATGGTAGCAAATAAAATTCCTTTTCATTTGTTTTTCAAAAGGGATGGTCATACCTTTTCCAAGGTATAGGATAAAGAAGGACTGAAGATTCTAGAAAATGAGAGAATTATTGAAAGAGGAATGTTATGAAAGAGTCAAAGGGAATGGGTTAGTAGATGAGTTATTTTTGGAAAGTAAATATGTAGTTCCAGGTAGAATGGAAAGAAGAGCAGATTAGGGAACTTCATCAACCTAGCACTAAAAAGAGGTTAACAAAAGTTATTAGTTCCTTGATTTTCACAGTGGAAAAAGATAGTGACTTTACTCAGTAGAGAAAATTTGGTTCATAATTTCTGTATTCATAAAAGTTGTCTGGGGAGCTCGTTGAAAATTCAGATTTATAGCCTCCCTGTTCTGCTCCCTAACTTGAATTTTCCTTCAGTAGGTCCAAGTGAAAACCAAAGAGTTGGCACATTTTATAGATTATCCTAAATGACACTACTAATGCTACATGTTTTCAAATCAGGTTTAGGCATATGATGGTCCAGAGCCAGTGCTTTTAAACTGCTTTCAGAGGAATAATAATAGTAAAAAAGGAAATGGAGAGATGAATGATATGATCCCTGTGTGGCAGTAAGGGCCTAATGGATGCTAAGTATCATGAATTTTTAGTTTTGGCAACTCTTAAGCAACTCTCTGACACGAGAATCGATGTGGGCAAACCTGATGTTGGATCCAGGATTGGCATGACAGACAGTCCAAAGGGGAAA